TTCCTTTCTTCTCCTATTCTTCATCCCAATGGGCAGCCAAAAGACAGCAACCAAAACCGAAGGGATATTGCGAAGTTGCACTTTAAGACAACACTCCGATGAATAGGACGTAGATTTTATTCAACATTGTCGTTTTGCGTCTCAACACCCTAGCATTTGTACAACCCGCGTAAATTAAATGGTTGAGGATGACTAACGTAATCGATTTATGAGAGTTCTATCTGGCTCGTATATACAGCAATTTCTAGATGATATTTTTTTTACTGTGAGTAAGGAAAAGAGATGACGAAGCTTTTAATCGAACAACGACCCCAACAACCAATAGCTGGGAATTTTTTAAATACACCCTTGATGTTTGAACCTCTGAGCGCGCCCTTCCTGCGGTGACTGGAATCTTGAAAGTCGGTCCGAAACCAGCGTTGCGGTCAGTCGACAGGGAGTTGGAGGATCGACTAGTTTTCAACATGGTACGCGGGATATTTGCTGAATCAATAGGGAGATTTCGAAATTTCCAACGTTCGGAGAACTGTGTCATGTGAATGGGCAGCAAGCTCTCACTTGAACAAAATTCGGCATTCACATGTATGTGAAACTTCCTGCCAGTTTACTTTGGGCTGAAAATGCGAAGGACTTCTAGACCAGCTTCAGAAGAAGAAGACAAGGGCGAGGATTGACTACATCGAACCAGAAACAAACGATAAATTACGCAAAATCCGATCGTGAATCGAATACGGTTAGATTAGAACCGGTATTACAATAAAATCAAACAATATCCTAACCCAGTCGTGTTTGGTGCTTCCGAGCTATCTCAGACTTGAGTCACTGATGATCTGACACCCACGCACTTTCTCGCTCTCTCATACACATTCACCCTCTTTTCAATGTGGGTGGAAAGTACAGGGTTATTTTACCTCGTTAATCTATTGGCATTCGGCTTCCCAAGTAGAAAAGAAAATTAAACGAATAAAACTGCAATATAGAGAGTCAACCGGTCCGTAAAATTACAATCTCTGCATGCTCGAACACACACACAGATATGCACATTTGCGGTGCAGACGATTGCAATGTACAATGAATGCCACTACTAATATTATCGCAACCCGTGGTGGTGATCGAAAATCAACAGAACACGTGTACAGTCGCGCGCGAGTGACACGTGCGTGTGTGTGACCCCGACTGAGTGAGAGGCGTGTGGAGGTGTGTGGACTGAACCGTGAGAATAACAACGAAATTTCGAGTTTTTTTATGCTGTCAAACTAGCGAGTAGGCGCCGTTCCCAACTCGAAATGACTGGAACAATAAGAGATTTAAAATTAAAACTGACGTATTTTATCCATCAACTAACATACCTACTTGTAGACGTAAAGTACTATAACGCCACGTTCAGATTAAAAACTTAACTTATGCAAAAACCGCATCAGATCATTATAATGGTTTTTCCGTTTCAGTCATTCCATAATACCACTACCCTCTGAAGGACTAAGGTTTCGACGGACTGGACTGACAAATGTGTTCGCTTGAGAAGTGCGAATAACACGTAGGCGGTCGAAAGAATAAATTTTGTGCTGATGATGACACAGGGAGCAACTTGATCCACCGCGGCGTTTCTCACCTACTATTTTTTGTTGAGCAAAACTATTTACGAAACCGCCCTGAACGCATTGTGTGCTCTTCAGGATTCTCGGTGGGGATGGGATGACTAATGGTGAGCAAACATTACTCAGCGATTCAGATTAATTTCAGCGAGTGTGTACACACACACACTTTCCATGCAAAGGATCTGCGGCATGAACTCCGTACGTGGAGCGGCGAATATGGATCACTGACGAGAGAGAGGAAAACTTGAGTTGTATCATTCTTGAAGGTGTAATGGATTGAGCGAACTAGAATGGTACGGGTGAAGATGGATTCTGGAGAAATGCAACCCGAGCAGAAACCATTGCATGTAGAACTTTTATTCTTTACCGATATATTATCACTGTGAGAACCATTAGATAACTCCTATTCTTTATCCTCAGAGAAGTCCTAACGTTCGGCGTGACTGGTTGAGATAGCTCCGGGAATTTTCCCCAGAAATTTTGTGGTCGTTGATGATAAAATAGACATCCAATCACTCTGACGGACGATCTTCGTCACTGAGTTGCTTTTATGGTGAAAACCAAAATGTACTTCATAATCTCAATAGTAATCTGATTTTCTTTGGATAAAAAATATCTTCGAATGAGTTGAGACTAGGATTCATCTTTCCAATCAGGTTGAAAACCAGTTTGCAAAGGATACTATTATTTCATACCTGACAGTGATAGATAGTTACTCATCTTACAAGGNCCCAATCTTATCATCACATAGATAAAAACTCCGCCACGTCATCACATTCTACTCCCAAACAACTCCAATTAGCGAATACCCATTCTCAGCTTCTTTTAAATGCCTAATCAGGCAACTAAAAAGCACCCAAAATGACAAATTTAGGTAAATTGTGAACCACAGGATATTGATTCGTTGGGAGGGGACAACGGGACTTTCGAATTTATCTTGTGCATCACTGCGGTAAGTCATCCTCATTGCATTTCACTGTGAGACATGGTAATGGGTGACCCTATTGACTCTTCGGATGTAAATGACTCTACCCACGCTTTTGTACAGCTACCAGCTGGGCTACGAGATCACGCCGATAGTACTGATCTTTTCACATTCGAATTACCTATCCAACTTACAGAGGTATATGGCATCCACCAGTTAGCACTTAAGCTGACTGCCCCGACAGGTTTTCCTTAGAATTTATTGGTGTGGCCTCCTAGCTCGGCTGGTAGAGCGTGTGTTGTACGAAAGCACAGGCGGCGTCCATGCGTGGGTTCAAATCCCACCGAGGCTACTGAACTTTTCATCATCTCCACATAAAAACTTCAATCTGTCAAACAAACTTCGAATAAATGACTGTTATATGAGAACTTTTAGCGGAGGAGTGGAACAGAGAAAACCGTTTTGCGAACACACCATGTAGTTCAGGGCACACCGATTTGTCGTGGTATCACAATCAAGGAAACGTTATTGGAGGGGGGATTAAGGTGTCAAACATATTGCCGGAGTTTGAAAATCATACAAATATCATTTATTTTCCCATATGGAATTATTCCTCGTCTCTGCCACATTTGGATAGCGTTCTATCGGAAACACCTGGGTTGCTACAAACAAACTTCTTTATATCATTATACCATCCCGCTGTCCCGCGTATAAGCACGCGTGTTGGATAATCGATCGATAAAAAAGAAGTAATTTTATGAAAACATGTCGAGAGATATTGCAGGCAAAATGGTAAAAACAGGCATAGTTAGTTAGACAACATTATGCCAGGTGAACTGAAGGAGTATACGGTGCGCCAGTTATCGGTGCATTACTTTGTATTTCTGGTGTTTATTACTTATCAGTAGTCTAAAACAATATGAGAATGAACACAAAAATAATCGATGTTGCTTTAGGTAATCATTTAGTAGATTGGAACCGTCTAGGCGAACATTCAATAACAGGAAAGAATCTATGATAATCTGTCCAAACTAAGAATTTTTCAAAGACCGAGATGATAACGGAAAATTGAGAGAAAGCCTTTGGCTCTGACGGAAACCACATCTGTTGACTGGGAACACTGCGGACAAATCAAGGTTTCAGCTTGTGGGCGAGATGTAGTAAATGCCTAAACATAGTGAACCAGCGGCACTCGGTTGGGACTAGTTCTTCTACAAATAATCTCCAATTACCGACCCAGCTTGATTCAGAAAAAGTTAAATCAATTATTTTATTTTTGGCTGCTCTTTCATTTAATGTCAGTAAAGAAGTTAGGATGTTTGTACAAACAGCAATAAGTAAATATTACATATTATACAAATGTTAGTAAACCACAGGCAATACATCATCGACTGAAGCGCTATTCGTAGTCTTGGACTCGAAGGTTTTATCCAAAGCCAGAAGATTGACCGGAAAATTCCATAAGCCGGTAAACTCAATAAATTGGTCTATTTTATCCGTCAACAGACATTCGCGTAAGTCACGGAAAAATCGATAACATTGATGTGAGTTGTGGCTGAAAGCGGAGCGACAGAAAAACAAAATTTTATCGGGGTGGATGGAGGTAGGTGGTCAAGTATGAAGGTTGTTCAATTTGGAGTGAAAATGCGAAAACTTACACCGCCACTTGTATCTGAGTGTATCATTAGAACGTGTTGTAACAAGATCAGAGTAACAAACAAAATCTTTTTCGGTGATTCATCCGCCGGCTAATACATTACAACAAGGATCATCACGTTTGGTAAGAAAATATTGAATACAGAATGAGGAAAAAATCACATTTTAGCTTCATGACTGGTTGTTAGTCATACTCTGATCATCACACATAAGCGTTAGTTCGGGTTATTAGGAGGGGAATAGGTGGATGACCTTATCGAGCGTGGGATGACGACGGAAGATCGAGCGTTCTTAGGTAGGGTTTTTTGTCATCTAAGGAGGGTTATGTAGGGAGATTTCGGTCGGTTTTACTGTGGTCAAAACGCGACTCTTAATTCCCTCAAATCAACACCTACGGACTTAGAGAGCTTCGACTACTAAGTGATTCGGCCGCACCAAATGCGAAAAGATCGAACTATTGATGAACGTAGTCATTCCATTACCCAGGAAAACTAGGTGGTGCTCATGGACCTGTTCGGATAAACGTCTGCTCTTCAGGCCAAGAACCTGAGAAGCCATTTTGAAGGAAAGTTTCTCGAATAACTCTCATCTCACTCATTCTCCAAGTCCTGGGGACCAGGAACTGAACCAGGTTTCTCTTTCGTTTTTGTGACACAAAGCTTTTGAAACGAGTATACTGATTATTCCACGATGGTTTCCTGTAGATGGTGTGCTGGAGAGGTCTGCCTGACCGACGACCGTAATCATAAATAAAAAATAAACGAAACCGTCTGTGAAAGTCATCGTTCCGTTCCATGTTTCACGGAAGGCTAGTAAATATGTCCTCTCGAAATGACTGGTTTCTTCGTTATTTGGTTGTGGACTATGGAAGAGGCGCGCAAGTCCAAGGTTTAATTCAAACAGTTGCCACCTAACAACCTAGATCTTAACGTAATTGTTACCTGGTTGGGAGAGAGATGTCAACGAGATACCAGCGCAGTGAAAATCCGAGTCAAGATTGCAACTCTTGATGAAGCCAAAAAGTGACTTCATAAGCACCACACTGGCGAACTCCGTAATGAAGAGATGCGAATAGGTCCGGAAGAATAAAGGTAGATGTATCAACTACTAGCGTATTCTTTATCACAAGCGTGGTACTGAGCCGGATGACAGTGATATCACAGAATGACAGACGTTAAACTTGTTTTAGCTACGCGTTGAGATCTTCTCATACACACACTTCCGCTGGACGCTATGCAACAACTGATGTAGATAAGGCTTTAGAATACGTTCAGGATATTACTACTCACCAAAAGTGCAGGCGCAAGATCACGCCAATTTTGCAATATTACCTTACCATTTAAAGATGCCAAACATGACAAAAAAGCAACCTTGATTGCCATACGGATTGAAGCATATCTTGCATCGTCTATGGATTATTATCCGGGGAAGAAATACCATACTCTAAATACATAACTCCGTCTCCAGAAAGACGCTCGACATCCAAATTTGTTGTGGCCAACAGTGTCTAAGGGTAGGTCCAAATGCGCGATTTAGTGACAAAATCTTTGAAAGAGCGATCCCGCGTGGACTCTGATACCTGTGGATTCTTGTAGACTGTCTGGTAGTCACTTATTTTCCCATGAAATTTCAAAGCAACTTCAGTGGCACTGATAATCCATAATGACATGGTTGAACACAGTTGTACAAACGGAATGAGGAAGTCGGCGATCAAAGAAATCGTCGTCCGGATGTATCAAGAGGTAGAAGAACTAGGTAGTTGTGATGGACGTCGAACATATGACTGCCATAAACTCATGTATTGCTGTATTTTACATTGAACTATGGTAACGTTTCCATTTCCTGCATTTCAGGTACTGTACTACAATTGTTAGAAGATTAAAACATACGTTAGACCAGACTCCTACTTTCAATCGCACAGCATTATCCAAATGTAACGAAGACCTCGGGACCGCAGTGACTTGGGATACATGCCGTTTTAATACTCCCGGTGAAACCTGTAACAGTTCCAATAGAGCTTCAGTGAGAACACTCGGAACTTGGTTATTCTTCAGAGCACCGATTACAGCCCAATCCGTTTGACCGATGATTCTATAAATCAAACGACACCAGGAGAACTGGAAAAGCGAACAATAAGAAACTGTACTGTGCTATCCCCCTCCCAACCACTGTGCTGTTTCACTTATCGACAGTGTGGTCAAAAAAATCCAAAATGAGTTCCTCGTAAACAAAGCAAAGAACACAGGGGTTGCCATACTTTCAACCAGGTAACTCCAAATCCAGAACAAATTGACTACTTATTTGCGATCCCAGAACCTGGCTGTCATTTTCGATCATATTTTTCCCTGAGAGCTACAAAACTGTGAAACACTTACTCTCTTTCACTCAAACTTTACAACGCAGAATCAACTGGGTTGGTTCTTCCTGCCTTCAATGCTCCCGTCACCGTTCTCATATTATAGGGAGCCTCCAAAAGCTTCAGTATGGTCCAGGGTGGGTGTCTATGGTTGCGGCTGGTCACCTTGCCCTTGCACCTCGCAAAATGCTCCCTCCCATACGACCAAGCGTCTCAAATAGCCTCTGCTGAGGAAGTCCTACTCATTGCCTTCTCGTGACGGAGATGTTTTTGCACGAAAATGAGAGGACGAAAAGCCGAGATCCGGGGCTGTGATTGGGTTGGTGGACCACTGGTAGTTCACCTAGGGGAGTTGTCTAAGAACCCTGATTCCAAACCAACCAAGAGGAGGCGTACGAACCACACACCGCGGCGAGCGATGTTTCCCAAGGCGGGTAGCGAATGGAAAAAGGTTAACGGCGGTCGAAATAAGACCTGGCATGAGGGTAGGAAAACCCTAACCAAGATACTGGATCACATGGGTCCCGTCAGGCTCCGGGGATAAGATCACAAGATTATGGTACGCAGTGGTTAGCGACACTGAATTATACGACTAGATGTCGCAAACAGTGGAACTCGTGTCTGTGCCCATTATTCTTGCAACACCAGTCTATTTGAATTCTCTATCTCTCCCTTGAATCTGTTCTCAACACTCTAATCTTCATTCTGTTCCTTTAACCAAATAGGTGGTCAAAAGACAGCAACCAAAACCACCGCACGAGAATGTATCGTTATTGGTTGTAAAAAATGAAACTATCCCAGCCTTCCGTAGTTTGCTTAGCCTCGTGCAGTCACCGAGAATACGAGCCGCGTGTTTGTGTCAACTCCGCTGCGCTACGAGAGCCCACAGTACGTTCACATTCCACTCTCCTATCATGGTATGTGTAACCTGTTGGGGCCTTATGTGGCTCATCACTTCAAGTCCCGGGGCTTAGGTGGCCGGTTTCCACCAGTGAACGTCAGGTTCTAGTGACAATGGAGTTCGCCCCGTCTGCTGTTCGTCACACTTAGGTGTAATAAAAAAGACCGAAAAGAGTCACAAAACTCACATCATTAGTAGCATCGGTCCGAGCATCTCTTTTGCGATATGCATGTGAGACACGTAACCTCGACTGTGATGGGTACAAGCGAAACACTCGCATCCGGGTTGGATGGGAACCTCGTACTTCCCGTCGGCGGGATCATCAGATCCATCCAATGGAAAGACCAGATATCGAGGTTGGAAACTGTCCGGTGTGGGTGTTTTGCATTCTGCCGCGGACCAACCGGGATAAATCCAACCGACTGCGGATCGGGTTAGACGATACGGGAGGGACCCNTGGTTGCCATATATTGGCAATGAAGCGGGGTAATTTGGGCGGTAACTGGGCACAGACGCTAGGAATGAGATTAGAGAACAACTGGGATATTTCATCATCTGGTTTTGAAACGTTCGTGTCTGTTGTGGACTCCGTACTATTGCTCGGTAGGGTGGAAAGTCCGTCAATGATAACCCCTGATGGGAAGGAAACAAAGGAACATTTGATGATAAGTGAGATTAATCCGACGAGGTTAGTGATCATCTATGTTACTCGTCA